AAAATGCCACTTTAAGGAGTACTTAACGTTAAGCCTTCCTTAAAATGGTCGGTGCAAACGGCCATGAGTCGCATGTGAAAGATTTGCACGGATTTCAAATAAACCCCCCCCTGATATTTTTATATGTCAAATCAAAATGTCATGTATAAATATTTGATAGTTGTCAGAAAAAGGGACAGATCTGGGGATTTTATTTATTTTCAACTGGTGAAAATAACGGTCAAAATTCAAACTCTATCGTGAATACGACTATACCTGCAGTCGGCAGTGATTAATTTACAGATTTAGAGATACTCCGATCGTGCAGGTGGTGTACTACAGAGGTGCACCCCCACCACAGATATCAAATGTGGAAAGGAAAGGGATAAGGAAACGGCAAGCAGGCAAGCTGAAACAAGGAAGCCTGAGCCGAAGCTGCCGGTTGCCGCCATTGCGCCATTTTTAATGTTTAGATTTTTAGGTCATTTAGTTTCGTGTTTGGGTTCTTGTGTGTGTTTTCGGTTTCACTGGCAGAATAATGAGTTCCAAAGGGTAAGTGAGTAATTATCAAATATTAGTTAGGGGTTAATCCAAGCAATTTTGTTCTGTGCTGTATGTGGTGATTGTAGGTGCTAATGCATGCGTGGTGGGTGCCGGTGACGGGCGTGTTGTGTTTTCACTGTTTAATTAAAGAAATTCTGCAAAATCGATTCAATTCTCTTTAGAGCCTTTTCGACAAGATATTAGAGAGATTTTGAACCACCTATTTGATCAACGTTATACGTTATCGGTTATTTTGCTCATGCGCAATAGTGAAAAAATAACCGGCCCGCTTAATAAGCGGTAACGTACTACGCTAATAATTTATGTGGAAATAAACGGAACGTTATTAACCGATAACGTTTCAGCATTTCGACGTCTTATTATATTTTCAATGTTATTCATGAAGTGCAGTACATAATTACACAAAACAAAACACAAATAAATACCCAACCATCCTAACATAAACAACAGACAACATAAAATTTGACGCTAGTTACACAGATTCAAATTCCTAACCACAAATTTTCATTAACGTTTAGCGTATAACGTCCTTCACAAGTTTTGGCTTCAAAAACTAAAAAAGGCTAAATGTCATCCGCTATTTTTCAAAGACTGCGCTTGCTCAGTTTATCGTTTAGCGTGTAACGTATTTCAAAATTTATGTGGCTCAAAATCTCTCTATGCAAGATAAGTTCACTTTATTAGAGCAACCTTTTCCCCTATAGGTACCCGACGAGGCTGCCAAATTTGAATTCTGTCATCCCCAAATCGACTTCGATATGTATGAATCAATAGGCCTTTAATTGCGCAACTTATTTTCTTATTTGAGCCACCCCCTGTACTTTTACAGTTTGCAAAAACCCCATAAAACTCATTTTCAGTGCCGGCCCGAGCCTAATTTCAGGATGGAGCGAGATCTGACTTTGGCGCCCCTAATTCAAATGTGAATCGTCTGCGCATGGATTTTGACCATTGTAATACCTACAGTGACTCTATTACCTACAGTGGCGACAATTGCTGTCTTATTTTTGATTGGTTCTAAAATCCCATATATTTATATTGGAAACGCGGCCATCTTGTTGCCACCTATTGCTTATTTTAAATATGAATATATGGGATTTGGGTGAACATCCATCATAAAACATGGAAAACAACGTATTTGATGGACCCTTTGAATATAAAACTACAGGAAGGAGCATAACTTCGAATCTGCGCGACCAAAATATGTGGAGGTTGCATATGGCCGACTAGTATTTCCGGTTTGGCAGTAGCGTATATTTATTTAAATATGATTGTCAATATTATGACTCACTCTTTTCTCACTAATTCCAGTACTTATCATCACTTAAAACCGCTAAAATCCATTAAACATCCACTTAAATGAGGACACAGGGAACCACCAAAACAAATGATGAGTCCAAACTTGGAGGCTCAAAATGGCGGCTTCCGTCGCTTTTTTGTTTGCAGTGACAGATAGACAACGCTCCTTCCTGTAGTTTTATATTCAAAGGATGGACCTGATAATAGTCATCAAATACGTCGATTTCAATTTTTTATGGTAGATGTTCATTTAAATCCTATAAATTAATATTTAAAAGTAACAAGAGTTAGGGAACACAATGGCGGCGGGACCTCTATTGTCGCCACTGTATGTAAAGGTTTATTTAGCCACTGTAGTAATACCTATTTATGTCTCTATCTATCTTATCAATTGAAATTTGTAAACATCCATTTTCGTTGGTGCTTACTCTTTTCCTTTTGAGAATTTATTTGAAGTAGAATGACAAACGGAAGTTTCAACGATTATTTATTTATTATAATATCTACTTTTCAAATAGATCAGTTATGATGACCACTTTAATAATTTAGTAGGAAGCTCTCTTGTTTACTAACATTTGGTTCACATTTTTTGATGATATCAAAATCAATAATCGCAATTTTGGCAATATCACATAACTAGCGGAGTAATGGAATTGCAGATAGCGTTTTTATCCGTCAGATTGCATTAGGTACCTCTGATAGTTTATCTTATCAGAAGGTGAATAAACCGTCCCTTCAATTTTTATATTTAATATGAAAATTGAAACAGCAAAATACAAAATTGTTAGTGAATCGCTGTTTGCGAACTTTTACTTGCAAATTTGTTTATAATCCCCTCATATGACAATTCCGAGCTATATAATTTTCAATGGACAGCAGGGCTAGATCAGCAACTTTATTGTCTTCTGCTAGAATTGACTTATGGTGGGTTTTGATTAATTTAAGTTTGACTTAAGCTCTGTTCACCTTTCGCCACAGGAATGGCTAGAAAAATACGGAGAGCTGTCCAGGTATTAGGAACCGTATATTGCCAATTATTCAATGCTTTGGAGTACTGCTTTTGGGTGACCTTTACCCATCACTTTAAAAACTTCTTCAAACACATTTTTTTTTTCAGAGCCTCTTTATTCATTTTTTTATAAACTGTCAGGTAATGTCTTAGATTACGCAATCTGCAATCTCATTGGACCGCGTTATCCGTCGACCAATAGAATTATAGATCGGTGAATGTATATTACAGAAAGTTACCAGCAAATTCACCTTGGAAATAAATAAACCAGGCCTTAAACATCCTAATCCCGAAATACTGCGATTATGATCATGGAGGGACGACGCCATGCACGCGACCTCTGCGCGTCCTAAAACAACGTCGCCACAGGTTATTCATGTGGGATTCAGATACTAACTACACGCTTGCTCGCAAGCAGAATATCGAAAAACGAAGACAGGATTCAAAGCAAAAGTATATATATATTTTTTTTTATCACCAAGGAACGAATCGGTCATCAGAGGCGCCCCCGAGGTCTGGCGCCTGGAGCGCTCGCTCCGTTCGCCTTATGGTAGGGCCGGCCCTGCTCATTTTATTTGGTGTCCTCTGTTTAAGAGATTTTAATTTAGGTATAATTTCTTTTTTAGGTAACAAAGAAAGCGCAACTGCAGTGCTTCTATGATTGCGCCTTTTTTTTACCTGCCGGCTGGACATCCCAGAAGCGGCTGAGTGGTTTTCACAAGTACTTCTCAGACATGCAAATGCGAAAATACAGCACAATTGACGTACTTTTCATGTAGTTTTGTGTTATCTGGGTGCCGGTTGCGAATCGAAAACGGCCAATGTATTTCAAATGGGAAAGCTCAAGTACCAGTCGAGTTCAGTTGAACTATGTTTTGAACCGAGATTGTACAAATGGGCCTAAAAGTTGATTATCAATAAACCGCCCCTGAAGCGGTTGGTGCAAACGGCCATAATCAGTCTTTTCTGTACAACGGATTTTTTGTCGAATATGACTATCCCTGTCATTGCCGACGGTGTAGCTGGTGAGTCTGTTTTACAATAGGAAAAATCGGATGTCCCATTTTTTATGCTCACGACTGTATATGGGATGGTGCAGTACGGTGCAGTACGATGATGTTTCACTAGTTGTATTCCTTTAAGAGTTTAAAACACTCGAGCTACTCGCTCCGGTGTTAGTTGCCCCCGATTTGAAAGAAACAGATACGTGTTGCAACAAACACTTTTCGAAAGGAACAAGCGCGTAACGCCCTGGAGCCTGGAGCTGTTCCAACGCTCCTCCTATTAGGTGTGAAAGGAATACAACTATTGGGACTGCACGCGTGCAATTTTTTTTTTCTACAAGCGTGCGGGAAATGGCTCTTCCCGCACGATTTGCTGTGCGTGAAGACTTTTTTCTCGCACCAGCGCGGATACATTTTTAATTCTACCTTCTGCACAATCGCATTTTATTTAAATTAAACTTCTCGTAACATCAGCTTTAATATGCTCGTAGAAAAAATATAGTTCCTTACTCTTGCGGAAAGGAATTTCTCTTCCCGCACTCGTTAGGAAAATAGCTATAAAGTGTCAGTGCAAAACGAGTGTTGTACTTGCTCTACCAATGAAATAGGCTATTAGTTTCCAATACCTACAATAACATTTTAGGGCCGGTTTCTCAATAGTTCTATTCCTTTTACACCTAGGAAGAGCTCCGGAACAGCTCCGGGGCGTTACGCGCTTATTCCTTTCGAAAAGTGTTTATTGCACGTTGCACCTGAAATGCTCAAACCCAAATCAAACCATTTAAATGCACGAAAACCAGCGCATCTATTCCTTAATACAACTATGTATTAGCAAGTCACCCCCGGGTTAAGAATAAGAATAGTCCTAGTCTAGGGTAGACATTGCTACTGCACACGTATACCCTGGAGTTAAAACCAACGAGAAGGAGAAATCGACCCTTAGCTCGCTATGAATCAGTGAAGCCAGTTTGCTACTTACTCCTTTCATTTCAATCTTTCCACCGTCCAAAATATCTTTGTTCTCCAATGATCGTCTTAGATCTAAATCGATATTTTTATTAGTACATATCGATATTTTCACAAGCATCGATATCTTATTCCCATCCTTAATCTTTTCCAGTGCTACCGTCCATTTGTCTAAGGTCCATAACCTAACCCTAACCTAACTTAATTATTTTTTAACCATGGTCCGTGGAGTTAGCTAGTGTCTTTTTTATTTAATTTTTTTTAAACTCGGGGAATATTTTATTATTTCCTTTTATTTTTGAGATAAGTAAGTATATTATTTTCTATAAAAAACATGTCTTCGCGTGGCGGTAAAAGGGGTGGCTGGCAGAGACGCGGAAGAAGGGGCGGTAAAAATTTTCACAATTCCAACAACTTTCGTGATCGAAAATTCGAAAAACGAGAATACATACATAAGGACCAATTAACCGAAGACGAAGTGGGTATTAGCCACTACATAAGCAAACTAGATGGATATCCTGCAGTAATTAAGGCTAGATTTTCCGATTTTCAAGTTAACGAAATCGATATGGAGGGTAGATTGGTTAAGTTGAGCGATGCAGTTGTGCCAGAACAGTTTCTTCGTGCAGCCCCAAAAGAAAGTTACCAAAATACTGAAGAGTCTCCTCTGGATAAAATACCTCAAAATATTTGGGAAGATTTAAAAAAATTGGTTACAACAGAGGATGGTGTGCCAGTCGAATTAGATGCAGGTGCGTTAAGCAAGGAAGATAGAAAAGCGATTCATTTGTGTGTTAAAAGCTATTTTGGACCTGCAGTGGTTGCTTCAACAGTTACAGCGGATGAAAAAACTAATATGGTTTTCAAGAAACCAGACTCAAAAGGTAAATATACTATTTTCATCTGGGGATTTGAAAGTTTGTAAACAGAAGCACATAATAATGTTTTGAAATCTTGAAGTTTTTTTAAACACCTTCTATTGAATTTGAATAAATGCTGGATGAACAGCACATCTCGATTTAGACAATAGGTAGGCAAATAGTTTATAATTTTTTCCAATTCAAATCAAATTCTTTTTTTAATGTGGGATAACTAGATCAGTTACAATTCTCATTGAAAAATTATTGAAATGTATTCCAATTTTGAAAGGGAAGAATCCCCTTAAGACCAGTGCATAAATTGTATTTTTTTAGCCAAAGATAATCGCACTCCATGGCCAGAAGACACTCCAGAATTTGTTCACTTTATTCTCTACAAAGAAATGATAGACACCATGGCTACATGTATGAAGTTATCTCAATCTCTAGGAATACCTGCTGCGAAAATTTCTTATGCTGGCGTCAAAGATAAACGAGCAAAAACCACCCAATGGCTGTGCATAAAAAAATACCAACCTGCCAAATTATTGGCCAAAGTTAGAAAAATTCGAAATATGAGAGTGGGAAAGTTTGAATTTAAAGAAGAATGTCTGAAAATAGGGGATTTGAAGGGAAACAGGTTCAGGATTGCTTTAAGAAATGTTAAGGCTGATGACACTATAATAAACGAGTCTTTGCAACACCTCAAGGATAATGGTTTTATCAACTACTATGGATTGCAAAGGTTTGGTAATGATAAAGAAGTTCCTACATTTTCTGTTGGAGTTAAATTATTGCAAGGAAAATGGGAAGAGGTAAACATTTTGATTTGTACAATGTCGCTAGTAATCATACGGAACCTCTTTGTATAAGTTAAGTTTGACAGTTCAATTTCTGATTCAAAAACAATGTGAAAAACCAAAAACCTTTAAAACTTCTCAAGAGGATTAACATATAACTTTTTTTTGTTGCTAAGAAAATACCTACTACAAATTACAGTCAATGGTATTAGAGTTAAATGAAGAAGCTTTATATATCTTGTATGATTTAACAATGTCCTAATTATTATGCTATTTTCCAGGCTGTAAAGTTGATATTGAAATTGAAAGCAGGCGACGATCCAACATTGCCAGTAAATCAAGCAAAAAAAGTATATGCCGAAACTGGAGATGCCGAAACGGCTATAAAATGCTGTGAAGAAGATTCAAGTAGCATAGAGATGAAATTACTTGAAGGCTTAGTTAAACAGCATGCCAATAATTATGTAGATGCCTTGGAAAATGTAGGTAATGTTTTTCTTTTCCAAACAAAACTTATGTTATTTTGTTTAGGTCCCAAGAAATATGCGACTGATGTACATTCACGCCTTTCAAAGTCTGATTTGGAACAGAATGGTATCAAAACGTATTAAAGAGTTTGGGTTTAAGCCTGTAGAAGGTGATTTGATATTTGTCGATAACACCCTAGAAGACCCAGTATTTGAAGTTGAAGGAGACCATGAAGCTGAAACAAGTGAAGATGAGAAAGAAAACTCTAGACCAGAAGTGCGTCCATTAAAAGCTGATGAACTAGAAAAATACACAATATTTGACATTGTCTTGCCTTTGCCAGGTTTCGATGTTACTTATCCAGAAAACCTAAAAGAATTTTATAAAGAAGCCGTTGAAGAATTCAGTTTGACTTTGGAAATGCCCAAACAAAAAGTTAGGTAAGTACTTAATGTGAAGGATGTAAGGACATTATGAGTAATTTTTTTTTTTATTTTAGGACTTATACTCTAAGTGGTACATACAGAAAAATGATCCAACAAGCTAAGGATTTGGAATGGAAAATTATGTACTACAATGATCCTACTGACAATTTGATTCGCTCTGATTTAGAGGAAGTTAAAGGTCAAAAAGAGCCAGAAAGTGTTGAGAGTATGTATACATATATTTAAACGTTTATACATATTTGCATTATTTTTAACAAAATTTTGTTTTAGACGGAACATTCAAAGGTATTGTGGTTGCGTTTACTCTAACCCCTTCTTCATATGCCACAATGGTTTTAAGAGAATTTTTAAAGTGCAACACATCTAGCAGTGCTCAGGCATGTTTGAATAATTATGGTGAAAAGAAAGAAGTTCTGATTTCTGTAGAAGAAAATGTGAAAAATGACATTGAAATAGCTGAGGCAAGAATAATAATTATTGGTCTAGTTTTCATAGTTGCTAATAGTGTTTTTGCAGGTGCATAAGAGCTTACTTTCCGATGCAGCAAAATATGAGAGTTTCAAAAATAATCTTTTCAAAGATGTATTGGGCGAGGACAATTCCGAAAGCTCCACCAATAGCAATAATAAAAGAGACTTGGAAGGAGATGAGGAAGCTGTTGACAGCAAGAAAACTAAAATTGACACAGAAATTTAATACCTAAATGTTTCGTTTTTTTTTAATGATTGAAAGTATTTTTATAATTTTGTTAAAATGGTAATAAATGCTTATGTTTGAATTGTTTAGTATAAATGGCTGGAATAATTGGTGTAACTTAATGAAAACTTCCTGAAAGTATTTCTTAAATTCATTTCAAAACTAATTAAAACCAATGGTTCAAATTAGAATCATTGGAAACTAAGTATCGTAACTAAATTCTACTTTGGATAGATTCTGATTGAAAAGAAGTGGAAAATTGCAGAAAATTCAGTTGAAATGCAATTTTACACTCATTTTTGACCTTTTGCCTTTATATTCAAATAGAAGAAGCCAAAAGAACTTTTAGAAAATATTAGGACCAGTTTTAGGTTGCAATTTTGAATCAAAAATACTGTTCCAGATTCCGGGTTCCCTAAAACTCACTTCACAAACAGTAACAACTTTTATTAAACAAATTGACTATATAAAATTCGCTTACAACTATTATTGAAACCTACAAAACAAATCTTGTATTTAAACAAAATCAAACTGTAGTGGGGATTGGGATCTTCTACATTCTATTGAACTATCTTCTGAGTGTAAGAATTGCCAAGAAAACGGATGTGCAGGATATCGATTAAGTAAAATATTGAATAAAAGTGATTACAAAATTACAATAAATAATGTGAGGCTCGTTTTCACGGTGATACTTTTTGCGATAGTTGCTGTCTCGATAGCAACCTATGGTAGCAACTATCATATCAAAAACTATTTCGATAAAATGATGAACCAGCGGTTTGATGTAATAAAATTTTATGGTACACTTTGGCACTCGGTAAAGGTACTGCAAAGATCCCAGAGAGTCACCAGTAGCAAGGTATCGACAAGCTAATATTTGAAGTTCTAGCTATGCTGATAGAGGCTCTGGCATAACAGTACCTATCTTTTGTATCTTGCTTCTAACCTCTCATTTATGCGTAAGAAGTTTAACTAACTTCTTGGGTCTTCTACAACAAGTTCATTCAGAAGTCTTTCAGAAGCACCAAGTGTACTTCTTCTAGCTATCCATTTTCTGACCCATATCTTCTTGGTTTTTTTATTTTTTCTACGTTAAATTTTAATTATTTCACCAGTTACAGCAGCTACCGCGGCAGTTAACTGCGTATCGGTCATTTTGCTATTGATTACTGTCACGATATTTTTTGATACGTGTGTCGACACCTCACTTCCATGATAGGACTATCGAGGCGACTATCATGAGAGTACTTTCACCGTGAAAACGAGCCTTAACATTAAAAACCTTTACCTACAATGACTGGTAAAAAACAGGTAATAAAGGTAGTTTTGTTGCATTACTCCCACTTTTACTTTTACTCCATGAAACGTTCCATAAATGGAGTAACAAAAAAATAAATAGATAAAAATACAGCAGGGATAATGATCCTCAAACACGATCACTTAAATCACCTTCAAATTCATCGTCTTTAATTAAAACTGTACAGGTTCTACCATGTTTTTTCAATGGTCTAATAGGTGCCGGATTCACTTTATCATCGGATTTAAATTTAGTCAATGCTGACACAGTACTTTTTGTGAATTATCTAGTGATGGAATCTCAAGAAGTTGGGAAAACCATTTTAATAATTTGATATGGGCCATCTCTTTTCGGAGCGCAAATTTAGTTGAAAAAAGAATATTTAGCATTACTAAGGCAGTGACTATTAACAAGAACTTTTTCACTACACTGGAATATAGGTGGTTTTCTTCTGTTCTTGTCAGCATATTTCGATCTACAGGGTGTCCCAAAAAGATACTGACAAACTTTAAGGGGTGGTAACCCAGCAAACATTTTTCAGTCGGCGGTCAGTCGGCCGAGCGCTTCTATGCCGATATGAATTCTTCTTGCCATTGATGGCATCTTGCGCTGGCCCGATTCGTATGTGCACCGGCGGCCTTCAGTCTTCAGCATGAATCTTCGTCGGAGAGGCTCATAAACGGGCGCTGCTGGCAAGATAGCGGCAACTTCTACTTAGTTGCTGTACTAAGCTTGTACTTAGCTGCCCCACGGCAGCTTACCGTTGATGTTTAGACGGACTAGCCCTTAATGGCAAGACTATTTTTCCAGTACCAATCAATCGACATTATCCGTTCGCATTCAACTTGCGGTAATCAATAGTCAACCTAATGCCACCATCACCGTCTTTTTTTTAGAAAAAGAACCACAGGAGCAGCATATGGAGATTCGCACTCTTCTATTGTTCCATCGGCTAAGAGTTTATCAATTTATTTTCGCTTTGCCCTTTTCTTATTTCAGACATGCGATACGGAGGTACCTACAGAAATTGGAATTTCATCTATGAAATTAATAGAATGTCCGGAAAGGTTATTATGTCCTTCATCAGATCTCAAAAAAATTCTTGTAAGATTTTGGTCGCATCGGAGGTTTATAAATTATTAATAGCGACATTATCAGAAATAAAGGAATATTTAATGTCAGGAGAATCACCATAAAACCAGGAATCATTGGACATATCCAACACTATATTGGCTAGTTTCAAAAAATCTGTGCTCAGAAGTATTCTGCTGTTATCATGTTCTGGTTCTGGAATACAAATGACACAAATATGATGAATTCTATCTTGAAGCATTATTTCAACATCAAAGAAGAGTAGGATTCAACTTGAGTACTTTCACCATCAGCAAGAGTCACTTTCAGTTCTTTATTTATATAGGGTATATCATCTTCAAGAAGAATTTTACTCAATTTAGCACTAGGAATACTTGATTGTGCACCAGAATCAAGATAAGTTAAGCCATGATGACCTTGTATAGTAACATCAGCTAAGGGTCGAGTGCAAAAATTGGGTGAAAACAAATTATCTGCTGTTATAGTACAAAATTCTGAGGAAAGGGCACAAGTCTCGGGTAAACTTCGAACAGTTAGGACAATTAGTTTTTATAAAACCAGGCTTCTTGCAAAACACATCAAACTAAGCCGACCAAAAATCAGTTTGTTGGGAAAACCCAAAATAGGGAAAACAAGTTTTCTCCTATTATGCACTGATGTGAAAATTTTGGCTTAATTTTCATCAGATCATCAGTGTGGCTAGGAAAGCAAAGAAACCCAACCCGTCTGTGGATGGAAAAGCGAAGAAAATTAACCCAAAATTTTCACATCAGTGTATAATAGGAGAAAACTTGTTTTCCCTATTTTGGGTTTTCCCAACAAACTGACTTTTGGTCGGCCTATTAGACGGTCAGTACTGTTACAGCAAAAGTGTTGTTTAGTGCTGAATCCTAGTCTTAGATGGCGCCACGATCAAAATTCGCTCTTCATATTACCTCTACTTTGCCTGCAGACACTAAACTTGGGTAGGGTTTCTTTGCTTTCCTAGCCACACTGATGAGATCTGATAGATTGAACGCGTCTGTGGATGGAAAAGCGAAGAAAATTAACCCAAAATTTTCACATTATATCCAATGCAAACATCTTGAATAGGAATTCTAAGCAAAATCTAAGTGTCGCAAATACTTCTAGTTTGATGTGTTATGGTTGCAAGAAGCCTGGTTTTATAAAAACTAATTCTCCTAATTGTTCGAAGACTACCGAGACTTGTGCCCTTTCCTCAGAATTTTATACTATAACAGCAAACAGCAGATATTTTATTTTTACCCAATTTCTGCACTCGACCCTTAGCTTATGCAAAGTTTACGCTTATGTTACTATACAAGGTCATCATGGCTTAAAACAGGTTGACTGCCGACCACTCCAATCGGAGTTTACTGGCACCAATCGGCGACGCCAACTACTCCGATCGGCGTGTCGTGCATGCTCAATTTGTATATATTCAGTAGGCGTTGGCAACAGGGTTGTTCCATGAAAATTTTCAAGTGTGCATCCAACCAATGAAAAATTATACATATTCGGTTGAGATTGTGCACATGCTTAAATGTGATGTGAATGACGTACAGAATGACGTACAGTGACTCTATTACCCACAGTGGCGACAATTGCTGTCTCATTTTTGATTGGTTCTAAAATCCCATATATTTATATTGAAAACGCCGCCATCTTGTTCCCAACCTCTTGTTACTTTTAAATGTGAATATATGGGATTTAGGTGAACACTATCATAAATCATGGAAAACACGTTTTTGATGGACCTGATAATGGTCATCAAATACGTCCAATTTCAATTTTTTATGATAGATGTTCATTTAAATCCTATATATTAATATTTAAAAGTAACAAGAGGTTGGGAACAAGATGGCGGCGGGACCTCTATTGTCGCCACTGTATGTAAAGGTTTATTTAGCCACTGTAGAATGACGTAATCAATAGCGCCATCTCTTGGCAAAAAATTACAGTGATTCACGGTAAACCAATGAACTATAACCAAAAACTGGAATGCTAACACATAAGGACGAACTTGAAGCCTAGTGCGGCTGCTGCGGAGGGGATACCTGTTTTTGTCGCACTCATTATGTCAAATGGCGAAAATTGCTTCCAACACGTATTCCAATTGATGAAACCTGTGAAGGGAAATATGACAAAACTTTCGAAAACGTCATATGTCAGCGAGCAACAGAAAAAAACAACATTCCCCCTTGTGGCATCTGTCTTTCATGGCTTCATTTTTTTGGCAGATATGGCAATGTGTGCGCATTCCAGTTTTTAGCTATAGTTCATTGCGGTAAACCTTTTCACCAAGTGATGACAATGGAAGTAAGCCGCCATTATGTGGCTCATGAGAATATATGAAAATCGAAAATAGAAGTAAGCCACGTCCCCGCCGCCATTTTGGGAATCGCGACCATATTGTGTAGCACCATTGTCGACGTCATCAACAAACATCAGCTGTTTGCGCCAGCGGTCATAGTTTAGAATATACAGTTATAATGAAAAATATTATTTCATTTTGAATAACATAATAGGCAAAGCAAAGCAAAGAGGAAAATGCCATCGAGATCTGAGAAAGCGTTGTTTAATGGCCGTTTGCGCCGACCATTTGGGTTTACCGGTAATCAATGCTCAAAGTGACATTTTTACATTGTACATATCACTTTAAGCGTTGATTATCGTTAAATCTCTCCCAAAATGGTAGTTGCAAACGGCCA